GCTCGAAGAGGGGAGGGTAAGGAGTACTCGGATACCTAGATGTGCATGTATGAAGAAGTTAATGAACCTGAAAGAAGCGAAAGAGGTATGTAAGGATCGTGATACTTGGCGATCTGTTCTCTCTGGCTACCCCGTTAGGGATTGTGCATGAAGATATGTAAGTAAGTATAATTTAAGGAATATCAATACCGTGAATGAAACGCATACATTTCGTACAATGACACAATACTCCATTTTAAACAAAAACAATTGATTAAGCTATTCAAAGCAAGATTTATCGTGCATTTGATCAAGTCTCACGGATAACAATCAAAGTTCAGTTGCACGGCCAGCTTTAAAAATGGGAGGTAGCAAAAAATCAATAAAAGAAATATTCTGAGATTGATTGGATCAGTCTGACCCTTTAGTGATGCGCTCGAGTTTTTATACAGTTATATAAAAAACAGAATGTATCAGTGTGTTTATTTGTGACAATTTGCTTTGTCGGTTTGTGCCGATTTACATTTGAAAAGAGTTTTTTTTGTCAAACGAAGCGACCTGTAACAACACGGTGAGTAGCACAGGTATATGTAGTAGATTCATTGTTAGTTAAAAAATCTTGATCGTGTTTTAAATCAGTCCTAATATAAATAATATAGTCACTTATTATAAAAAGCGCCACTAGCCTAATATTTAGTTACGGCCCGCCATTTTTTGTAATAGAAGGGTTATAAACGAGCACACAGTCCACCTGATGGTAAGTGGTTACTATGGCACATAGACATCTACGTCTATCCTCGATTACGAATTAAAATGCAGATAATGATTTCTTATATTTACGCGAACACTATACATGATTAAAACTACTTTTACGGATTTTATCGCGTTTATTTTTACTTTTTATTTACTTTTATTTTTAATTCCCGACGTTTCGGGCACTTTCCAGCACCCATGGTCATGAGTCCCCCGTGACCATGGGTGCTGGAAAGTGCCCGAAACGTCGGGAATTAAAAATAAAAGTAAAAATAAACGCGATAAAATCCGTAAAAGTAGTTTTAATCATAAAATGCAGATGTATTGTCACTTGTGCGGAATATGATGGAATGCTTCGTTTACAGTAAAAAGGGTGTCCAGTTCTCTACACTCACCATACGAAACACAGCAGCGTTGAGCTGGTATTTTACGCTGATATTCTGTGAGAGCGTGGTTCTTCCCCGGTCGAGCCGACCCAATTCGTGCTACAACTTTACTACTTATACTGCTGCAGTATGGCTCTACCACATGTTTTTCTATGCTGGAAAATATTTAACACAGTGTTAGACTAATTTCATTATATTATAAAACGTGGTTTATTGCTTTTGCTTAAACCATGGTTGAAGATGAGTTTTTCTAACTAAATAAGTCCCTTCACCACGACGCTATGTGATATTTGACATTTGTTGGGAAATCCCATATTTTATTTTATATAAAAGAAATTTGTACTGCATTTCCCACGGGACTTCTTTATTAAAAACACTCCAGTCTAAACCAGAGACTATTTTTAAACTTCTTTTTGTAATAAGACGTATAAATTGGATAATGGAATAATGATTAAGTGATTTCCTATAATTTTTTAAAATATGCTTACACATATTTTACATATAATAAATTTAATTTCTATTAAGAGTTTCAATATTACCGCCATCATCAATATCAACTAATCACGGTTCCACTCCTAATTAATAAAACTCCTCGAAGACTGCTTTGGTTTTACGTAAAACCACCTGTATCATGACTACCAATTGTTTCTATGAACTCTACCACATATACACGTCTTAATAGCTACGCATATCCATAGGATTTGAATACTATACGTGAACATATTTGCAAAATTTCTAAAGTAATCCTGGCATTATAAAAATAACGAATTTATTATTCGTTATCAATTATAAATTGTACTATAAACTATACTATATTTCTCTTTTTTAATTGTTATTTTTATTTTATTTGAAATATAATGTATCAAAATTTGATTGCTTACGTAATTTTCGCCCTTTTTCAAACTTGCTTATATTACATAATAATTTTATTAGAAATAAACATCCTGTAAGCTCTGACAGCGCGCGACATGTTATACTCCCGTTCGCTCGGGACCGTAATGGCGGGAATATTTGCAAATTAGCAAATTTTTTTGCTATATTGCAAATTTTGCTATATTTTCACTTTGAGACAATATTTATGGATAAAACTTACAGGAATTCTTGTTGAATGTATAAACTATCGAATAAAATTATTTTTGGTTGCTAGAAATTATAATAAAATTCATAAATTACCCTTTATAGCATAGTAGTAGTATATACTTCACTTTTAGTGCCAAAATTACTACTAATTTGAATTCTACACTTTTGTTTTTGGAGAAATTTATATGAAAATGTTTGGAAATATGTATATTTTTATGTTTTATGTGTTTCTATTCGTTACTCATACCAAAATATTAAAATATTAAAAAAAATAATAATATTTATCTGTATGACATTTCGAACAATATTTCAAAAATATTTTTGTGTGAATTTGAAATAAATACAACGTCAAGTTATTTGAAATATGTAAGAAAACTATTTTTACTTACATTTTACACTAAAAATAAATGAGAATTCGAAAAATAACACTTTTATGACCCAACCGCCAAAATGGGCCTTCCGTATTTCGAAGTAATTTTGGCAATTTACTTTTCACTTTTTATACCACAAATTATATATCTACGTGTTTACTATATTACAAGGAATATAAAAAGGTATAATACTTTCGTTTTAAGTCAAGACACAAATATAAAATTCTATAAAAAAGACGGAGCACCTTCATCAAAGCGACACGTGGAACGCCGAAAGTTCAGAGTGATTTCTTTTTTTTTTTCTAAGAAACATTGCCAGGTTATGGTTTAAAATAAAAGAGCATATTTTTGTCTTTGATACTATTATCTATTGCATACTGTTTTAGTTGGTTTTGTTTTAATTAAAAAAATTCTTTTTAAAGGGTAGTACTTGTGGTACACATGTGTATCTTGATCGAGCGAGCGTAAGATGTTTATGTCTGGTACACATGTGTAGGCTGCTCGACTCTACATTGAGCTATTATGTACTACGTACTAGAGGCGACACTGCATTCAGCTACTCTGTTCCACTCAACTGCGGTGCATACACCGCACTTTAATCAGTCATATGCTAAGCGCTTGTCGAATTGTCACGTGTTGTGTTGATTTAAAAAAAATCTCGTGATAAAAATATGGCGTCGTATGTACTTAGATATTGCACAAATAATTCAAGAAATGTCAGTAAAAACCAAGGAATTACTTTTCATCGGTTAATAAGATACTTAACCAAATAAAAAATTATTATAAATTAAAAATAAAACAAATTATTCCTAAGACGCCATCTCGTGTCATGGAATATAGATTATGAAATTAATATGTTCAGATGCGACATTTCTGTGGGTACTTAAATATAGGACGAATATATTATTATACACATTTTTTGTAGAAACATAATATATAAGTTATTATAATTAGGCTAAATTTTTCATGTTAAATCTACTTATTATTCTTTTATTTTATTTTTAGGTTTCCACTTCAAAGCAATTATTGCTGCATGCTTGCAATAAATTCGTCCATTTTTAACTCTCGCGTGCCCAGCATTTATGAACGACTCTTATTCTAAATTAAATCAATATATTTGTAATTCAAATGTTATGTTAATAAGTTTTGTTAAACATACATTTAGTATGTTTTTTTTTATATTTGACATTAGATACCTTTTAAAATATTCAGATAAAAATATCATTAAAATGTAATTGTGATATAATATTATGTAATATTATAATAAATAAGCAGATATAATATACAAAATAAATGACAAAATTTAAATATTGTTCTCTATATAATTTACCTATTTAACAATACAATCTATAGTATATTACCTACGGATCATTCTACTTATTTTTATTCTATGATAAAAAAACAACCGCGCGAACACAGAGTAGCGCAAATTATTTGTTTGAGATAGCTGTTCTAGTACGTAAGTACATATTACTTCAATGACATTAAATAAGATATTTATTGTTTATGTAATCTAAATATTTAATAAAATTTTAATGTGACTTTATACACAAAGGATCAAGATTTGCCAGGTTGCTTTAGTCAAAGAACCTAAATCGACGTATCGTAGACGACTCAGGACACAAGTTCGGGATAAAGACGTAATAATCCATCAATCGTCTCTCGTCACTGGTAGAGGCGACCGCACACCGCACCTTTTGAGAATCGTTAGGGGATCGTTTTAACGTCAATTATAAAACAAGCCATGCCATTTTGCCGGTATCCGTTCCCTAACATACGCATTTTAATATACATATCGAATTAAGGATTTAATATTCATATTGAAATCACGAAAGTTTCGAATAAAGTAAGTTGAACAGACACTGGTAAGATAATATATATATATATATAGTGTCAAAGGTAAAGTCAAAATATTCTAGTTCAAAATTGGTCTTCACAAACCATTTTTTGAAAGTCAATTTATCTAATGTCAATTTTTAAAATTGATAATCATCCTTTAAATTGTCTAGGTGGAAACACGAAAACATAATTCATACCCGTGTATTCTGAGATATAACTTAGAATTATAATATATATATATATATATATATATATATATATATATATATATAAAATAATATATAATATATAATATACTAAAAATAGAAGAATAATGAGAAGAACTTAGAAGGGTGTAAGGGGCTCCGCTAAGATCTTGGAGCCCAAGCCAACCCCGCCTGCACTTGGCGCACCTGCTGGACAACGGAAAGGGCTCTGGCGATGCCACTCCCCTGGGATTCGTCCTAGGGGTTCGGGAGTCAGACGGCAGTCGCCCCGGTAATTGGGACTAAGCCACTCAAAAATGGAAAGTAAAAGAAAGAGATATACGTTTAGGACTAGGGCGTCTCCGCATAACGACGTGCATTGGGATCGCATTAACCCTGCGACAAGTATGCGAGGGCTACCGGGCCCCGTGCGAGCCTGGATAAAGACGTTAGAACTAACTACGAAGATTCGCTTTGCAAACTGGAACATTGGCACGCTTACGGGACGCTCCACAGAACTTGCGGCCATACTTGCCAGGCGTAAAGTGGCAGTGGCGTTCCTGCAGGATACACGATGGAAGGCCAACAGGAGCCAAAATATTGGGCACGGCTACAAGCTGATCTATACAGGCTCTTCTGGTGGGGAGAACGGTGTGGCAGTGGTGCTCGCCGAGCATTTCCACGATAGCGTCTTGGAAGTTAGACGCATATGCGACCGACTTATGGTAGTAAGGTTGCTTATTGAGGAGTTCGTGACCCACTTAATAAGTGCCTACGCCCCACATGTCGGCTGCAGCAACGCGGATAAGACGCTGTTTTGGGATCGGCTCGGAGATGTACTATGCGGCATACCGTTGTCCCAGGATGTCGTTTTGGATGGCGACCTGAACGGTCATGTGGGCAAGGTGCAGGGGGGAGTATGAACGTGTCCACGGCGGCTATGGTTACGGCCGAAGAAACGCAGAGGGGGAAATCATTCTCAGAACCTGCACTGCAGCTGACCTGGCCGTGGTGAACACGTTCTTCAAAAAGAAAACCGAGCACCTGATTACCTACAGGAGCGGTCGGTACACTCAAATCTACTATCTACTGACCAGGAGAAGTCATATCAATCGCGTGGCCAACTGTAAGGTCATACCCGGTGAGTGTCTCACTGCCCAACACCGACTTCTTGTCATGGACCTCTGCGTAAAACCCCGTCGCAGACACGCCGAACGTTGCCGCCGTCAAATCAAGTGGTGGCTGCTGGATCAAACTAGATACTCAGAGTTTGATTCTGCCGCTGGGGTTTCGACACAGCAGGCAAGTCCGTCCAAGAGTGCTGGAAAACCATTCAGACAGCAATCACAAAGACGGCAAAGCAAGTCATGGGCGTGGCGAAAGGGGGTCGGAAAATCGACAAGGAGTCCAGAGTTCATTACGGAAGAAGAAAGCGCTCCTCAAGACGTGGCAAGTGACCAAATCTCCTGAAGATCACGCATCTTACAAGACAGCGAAAAGAGCTGCCAAGAAAGCTGTAGCCAGAGCCAGGCGTGACCACTTGCAACCATTATATGCTAAGTTGGACACTCCTGAGGGGCACAAGCTCATATATAAACTGGCGTGCTCTAGGGCCAAAGCAGCGCAAGATATTACTCGCTGCTGCAGCGTCAACGGCCCTAATGGCGAGCTCCTGTACGATGATCGTGCGGTGAAGGAGAGATGGCGCTCTTATTTCCACGTTTTGCTGAATACTCAGCACCGGGAAGTGCACCCTCCCGAACAACTCCCGAACCATGGACTCGTGCCACCGATTACGCCTGACGAGGTCCTCGCATCTCTTCGTCACATGGAGAATCGGAAGGCTGTCGGACCGGACGAGGTGCCAATTGAAGCGTGGAAGGCGCTGGGGGCTCGTGGTGTGTGCATTCTTACTAACCTTTATAATAGAATAATGCCCGATCAGTGGCGGCTTAGTATAATAACGCCGGTCCACAAGGGTAAAGGGTCCGTTCAGGATTGCGGTAATTACCGCGGTATAAAGGTGACGTCACACAACATGAAGCTCTTCAAGCGCATTATTGATACCAGGATACGACAGGAGTGTACAGTATCGGACTCCCAGTATGGCTGCCAACCAGGACGCGATACCATATACCCTATATTCGCCCTAAGGATACTCATGGAGAAGCACAGGGAAAAGAATATGCCTCTGCATTTTTTATTCCTAGACCTGCAGAAGGCCTTTGACTGTGTTCCTATGGAGATGATCTGGTGGGCGTTGCGGTCGAAGTTGGTACCAGAGACATACGTGGAAATCGTATGTGACATGTACCGCAACTCCGATTCAATAGTAAGGACCGCTGTTGGTGATACCACCCCCAATCAGGGCTCCGTCTTAAGCCCCTATCTTTTCAGTGTGATATTAGACGAACTGTCAGCCAGCGTACAGAAATTACCGCAGCTTTGGCAGCTTATGTACGCTGATGATATCGCACTGGTATATGGGGACAAGGGACAGCTCACCAGACGCGTGCACGCATGGAGGGAGGCGCTTGAGAACGGAGGGCTGGAGCTAAACGTGGCGAAGACGGAGTATATGGCTTGCAACAGCACAGATCTGACGTCTCTCCGTATAGGCGACGACACCGTCGAGCGCACGGACAACTTCAGGTACCTCGGATCTGTGCTTGATGCGTCCGGGGACATCGATCGCGACATCAAGGCCCGTATATCAGCGGCCTGGGCGAAATGGCGCGAAGTGACGGGTATCATTTGTGACCCCAAAATGCCGGTCAAGCTGAAGGGACAGGTCTATAAGACCATCATAAGTCCTGTCCTTACGTACGGCAGTGAGGCGTGGCCGGTGCTGGAGCGACACCGGCAGTTGTTGCATATCAGGGAGATAAACATGCGGTGGATGTGGATGCGGTGGATGTGTGGCGTCACGCGGAAAGACCATGTACGGAATACATACATCCGCGGCAGCCTCCATGTCCGTGACATTGCTGACAAGCTGCAGGAAAGTCGCCTCCGCTGGTACGGCCACGTCTTACGACGACCGGCAAGCTACGTGGGAAACAAATGCCTGGAAATGACTCTACCTGGTACCAGGAGTAGAAAACGGCCCAAGAAACGCTGGCTTGATGTCGTGCAGAATGACATGCGCGCTAATGGGCTGGTTGCGAGGCAAAGTGGAGGAGGAAGTGTAGCAAAGTGGACCCTGGGTTCTCCCGCGCCGGGCGGGATGAGCAACCGGGACAAACGCTAGGTAGAAGAAGAAGAAGAATTATAGGTACAAGTTAAGGCTTTTTGTTTAAACTTAACTCGCAAGTTACTTTGCTTTTGATGTTGACTGTATTTTAAATCACCTCAAAATATATTTTATAACTCGCGACATTACTGGTCCTTAACATCATAGTTACGAGTAAAGCCATCACAAATCCACCGCTGAACATAAGCCTTCACTGAACGATACTGAGATCGTCCGATTATAAAACTAGATACAAAAAATCGATTACTTACACATTTATACAAGTAGTTGTTACGTAGTTGGCTTCGCTCCTCAGCGCAGCGACTCCTCCTGCACTGCTGAACCACCTATATTCCATCGCTTTCCTATGTTTTCGCTTTCTAGTGTTTCCTCACTGTGGACGAGCCCAACATCGATCACCTCTAAATATTATATTAGCCTCTAGGTGCTGAGTGAATACTAAATATTATATGAAATAATATTTTTGCTTTTTTTTATAACAGTGCCCTGATTGTATAAAACGTGAAAAATTAGGTGTGTTTTTTAGCTGACTTCAATAAAGGAGTTTCTTAATTCGACAGTACTATTATGTTCTTTTATTTATGTATGTTATACCATATCTTGTCTACTGTGAACCGATTTGATCATATTATTTTATTAAACATTTATCTTGAACCTGTGATATTGCTTAGTCCACTCAAAAGGAAAAAGTAGTTTAAAAAAATTTAAATATTAATATATTTGTATTGTCTAGATCTTATGACTTACTTTTCAGCGTAGCCTTTTTGTTTTGCGAGATGAATAAAATGTAATACGCTATATTGTTAACGAACTAATACGCAAAAGCGTATGTGTACATCTGTTGTAAAGTTAATAAAGGCGTACTATGCGTGTAAATATTACATGTTACTTCCAGTATATTAACGCATAATAAAATTACAAGAGGGCCCAATGCAAATTCGCACGCACAAGTAGTGTAATTGCATCAACGCATATAAATCAGAGCTTTACCCAAGGAGAAATATAATACTGTCTTCGAAGCATAAAATTTGTGATTGGTGTTGCTAGTTCTACAAATTTTATCCTAATATCCCATATTTGTGGAAATGTAACATATTTTGGTATATAAATTTTTTTTTCTAATCAATAAGTAGTAAATATTTAAAAGTTTCGTTGTTGTTAATAAATGATTTCTATTGATATTTATGGAACATTTTAGGCTCATATATTGAAAAATTTCCTACAAGCTGTGATCAAAAAATTTACTTTTTTAATATTATTTCTATCATTTAAGTATTCATAAACGCTTCTAAGATAGACGATGCTGAATATTTCTATACTCCAATATATCTTGACGGTGATTTATTAATCACTTCGACCTAATCCCATTGATACTTTAATATTCAAAAGCCGTCCAAAAAAAGGAATTACAGAAACACAGAATAGTTTTTGTGCGATTAACATTTCCCTGTAATTATTTAAAAATGTAATTGTGTAATATGACATGCAAGCAAAATATAAGTATAACACTGAATAGATATTGAAAATCGGTTTAATTTGCTAAAAAATCTTTTACGATATGTTCATTACGAATCAAACATAACCTCACAAGCATACGAAACACAACGGAATTAAGCAGCTATTTTACGGCGATATACTGTGAGAGTATGACCTTTCCTCAGTAGAGCTGACTCATTCGTTTGCAACCATAATTTAGCTCAAGCCTGTCCCTACCACTTTAAAATAATTTAAGCTCCAATATGTAATAAGATTGAAAAGAAAAAAAAATACTAAAGGCTATGGATAATTATTGTATTAAAAATTAAATATTTGTATAAAATTAAAATAATACAACACATATATAAATAAACTGCAAAAGAAGTTATTTTTAAGGCAGATATATAATTTGAAATTTATCTGGCAACCCTGTAACCCGTTGGCTTACTCTCTGCCGACGCAGATCAGACGCAAGCGTGGCCGCTACCAAGTCGCTACCGCTATACACAATCCGCAAACAATACAAAGCAATCAGCGGTATATGATTTATAACAGCAAAATGTTAAAGAAATAAATTTATGTGACACAAAACATACGTTCCATTGCAAATTGAACATTTTATTAGCACATTGGTTAGATACAGCGTTACAACGTACTAAGAGTCGTAATGCTATGAATTTTAATAATATAATGATTAATGAGTGAATCCTCAAGGGTGACCACTTATCAGCATTTTTCTTAATCAAGATTAGATCTAGATGTCTGTATGTCGCAGCATCCATTCAGTAACAAGTGGACTGTGTGTTTGTTGTTACTCATTTGACAACATTACAATAATGTTTACGAGCCTTAATCAAATGTTGTTCACATAAAATTATCTATGCTTTGTTTACAACTAGTGACTTAATTTGGAAACTTTCACTTGTTTTTTTCGCAGTATACATGTTTTTTTCTGTTATTTTAATAGCTGACTGCACTGTACTCATTATTGTAATTCTTGACTTAATATACGAAAAATATGTATTTTTTTTTTGTTTTACTATCGTCGTCTCAACCAACGTTTTGTCCACTCATATTATATATAATATTTCTTCTGGGCAAAGGTCTCTTTCCATTTCTAATCTATTCAGATTGTTGGACTTAACATGCCCAAATACTAATTGAATCATTTAAAGAGCCAAACTTATAATACTTACCAACTAGCAATTTTAGATGCGCCGCCAACAGAGATTGAACTCTAATTAGTCGCATACCATTTAAGGTAAGGGTTAAAGGTAGTTTGTATGTCACACCAAGAATAAAAAATAGTCGCATTCAAATAATTAAGTAGCAGTATCAACGCAGAAAGTAATATTTAAAGACAAAGTCAAGTCCCATTTAGTAAAAAATAGATAGGAATCATGTCGCTTTAAAAACCGATGCCTTAATTATAACATAACGTTTTTATTCATAAATCTCAAATACCAGGTTACCAGGAAGTTACGATATTGTTGCTATATCAATGGTAATAAAAGTATAAAATGGTATAACTCTATCGGAGTTAATGCAGGCGCGAAGTGGCAAGTGGGATCGTAAATTCTGTCTGGCTAGCGCCTACACTGCGAACCTCAGAAGCTCCTGATATGTATTATGTTACTTGACATAACAACGAGTATAATATTCCTTTTGCAGCTTTGTTTCTTACGGCTATGTAATTGTTACTTTTTTGGTTAGTTAATTCACTTAGAATGTTTTTTTATTAATATTTATAATTTTCAAAAGATATTGGTTATAGTCTATCTTTATTTTAATAATTTCTATATTTCTATGTCTTATTATTAGTACATACAGGGTGTTTTTGAAATGCTCCCAAAAACGAAGACAGATGATAGTACTAAGGAAACCTTTGATGATGGGACGAAAAGAAAATCAATCCTGGTGAAAAAAAACATTTTTACTATGTTTAGCTTTACTCACGCTCCATCGTGTTAGTAACAGCTAAATGAAATGATAATTTCATAAAAAATATATGAAAATACCCAAACATAAACCAGAAGTGAAAATTTAACCTAAAATCAGCTGATTATGGGGTCAAAAAAGGCGCGGACCCTGAACTCTTTTTATCCAGCTCGGTGCGAAACAATGCAATAGGTATTACTGTATTCACGCTCACTCTACCCTTCCCTTTCACACACGCGCTGCCACCTCCCGGCTGACTCATGTTGTCTCGCAATTTACACCTGTTCAGCGCTGCCAACATGTGGGGAATTCCCCGAATTACGGGGAATTTAAAATTGATTGATTTTTTTTGGGATTGTTATTATGCGGGGATTTTGAAAATCGATTGCCTGGACCAAGTCAGAACCTTTCTTCAAGAAATCTAAACACTTATCTTTTATCATTTTTGTTAGGTTACTTACGAATATCGAATGACTCTCGTTTTTTAATTATCATCTTGCACCACATTTAATTTTCGGACTTTTTGGCAACTTTTTTACGTGGTAGAGCCATGCTGCAGTTATATTAGTAGTATAGTTGTAGCACGAATGGGTCGGCTCGACCGGGGAAGGACCACGCACTCACAGAATACCAGCGTGAAATAGTAGCTTAATGCTGCTGTATTTCGTATGGTGAGTGTAGAGAACAGGCGACCCATTTTACTGGAAACGAGGCATTCCATCTTAGTCCTCACGGGTGACAACACATCTGCATTTTGATTCGTAATCGAGGATAGACGTAGATGTCTATGGGCCACAGCAACCACTTACCATCAGGTGGACTGTGTGCTTGATTGTCACCCTATCCTATAAAAAAAATATAAATTAATAATATACCGTTTATGCAGTGTTTGAAAATACAAGTAAATAAAGCTTCTACTTTTATTTAAAATTATCCCAAATTGAATGTGATTTATGGGCAACAACGTCAACAACACTATTTTCCTATATATATATATATATATATATATATATATATATATATATATATATATATATATAGAGGTACTAATTTTGAAAAATTAACTTAATAATGTTTCGAAATTTTGTACAACTGCTAAGTTTTTGATAAACAATACCGATTAGTAAAAAAATGCGCGGTGATTTCGTAAGAGAATCTATCATGAAATAATCTCATGGGTCGGTTAAAATTATTTTCCTTAAATATTAGGAAACAAAAACTTGAAGTAGATTTTTGTTTCTATATAGATAATAAATAGAACTTGTGAAAGTAATACCCCCGTTTAATTCAGCACTGGTTCGGAATACACCTCTGTGCTAAGAAAACCCAGAAAGAAACTAAGCGGCATATTTAAAAATACGTTAACCGTAGTAATAGTAAGTAACGATAACCTTTTTTTTTCAGGAGTATTATTCGTTATTTAAAAAATATTTTGGATTTACGGTGGCGGTAGCGATGATAGTGGCGGGAGGTGTTAAAAGTCTAATCACGTTTTGATATCAAAAGTGACATAAAGAATCTATAATAAATCTTTAGAAAGGTCATTAATGTAATTCTTATTTTCTTGTGTTTGTTTAGCAGTATATGGTGCAATTATTAGAATAAAGCTATGAGAGCAAAACATAGTAATATGGTGCAATTATTAGAATAAAGCTATAAGAGCCAAAACTATAACAGTGGTAGAGGCACGCGGCAGCTTTTGTTGTTGTTGGGGAGTTGCCATGACCTCACAGAATACTATCTATATCGATTTCTTATATTTACGCGAACACTACACATTGAAATAATACTAGTTTTTACGGAATTTATCGCGTGTATTTAACTTTTTAATTACCCGACGTTTCGAACGCTTTACAGCACTCATGGTCACGGGCAGGACTGAGATGTTCAATGTCCATATGTCATAGTTAACCGCGGTTACCATAGATTAAAATTTAACTTTTGTTCCGATCTATGCAGTATGAACTTATGGTATCTTGAAGTCTTGTAGTTGTATGCTTGGGTTGGGATTTAATTTTATTTATTATAGGATCCCAAGCAGATGGTAGCACCCAGCCATCTTCTCTATTGAAATTAGGATGATTCGCGGAGGCAATATATATATATATATATATATATATATATATATATATATATATATATATATATATATATAGAGGTACTAATTTTCAAAAATCAACTTAATAATGTTTCGAAATTTTGTACAACTGCTAAGTTTTTGATAAACAATACCGATTAGTAAAAAAAAATGCGCGGTGATTTCGTAAGAGAATCTATCATGAAATAATCTCATGGGTATCATAACAGGTCACTATACAAAATGCTGGAAAATCTTTTCGTTTACGCCAGACATAAAATACCCGGATACGGTATATGATATTTCAATAAATTTGTCATCAGCGAACTGTTTATATATTTATGGTTGCATTTTGGTTTGAAGTGTTAGTACAAATATATAAAAATGTGGTAGAACTATTTTTCTTCCTACGAGTCAGTCTAGGTAGATACTAACTTCTTACCTATTTCTGCCGAGAACTGCATTTCGTGCGCCACTGTGAGTTCTAGTTAGTTGAAATTAGGATGATTCGCGAGGCTATTGAAATCAAAAAACATCCTAATTTCAATAGAGAAGATGGCTGGGTGCTACCATCTGCTTGGGATCCTATAATAAATAAAATTAAATCCCAACCCAAGCATACAACTGCAAGACTTCAAGATACCATAAGTTCATACTGCATAGATCGGAACAAAAGTTAAATTTTAATCTATGGTAACCGCGGTTAACTATGACATCTGGACGTTGAACATCTCAGTCCTTCCCGTGACCATGGGTGCTGTAAAGCTCTCGAAACGTCGGGTATTTAAAAAGTTAAATATACGCGGTAAATTCCGTAAAAACTAGTATTATTTCACTATCTATATCCCCCGCTCTTGCTCTGGCTCTCCCGTCCGCGAAAGATTTTATTATTCTCAGAGGTAAATTTATATGCAATAGCAGCATAGCGTAGTCTCTAAGAGTGAGCTCAGAAAATTTTCTATTTACCAGGGTAGTCTGAAAAGTTTCCGACATCAACGTGAAGATAGCAGCACTCGTCAATAAAAGCTAGTGAATGTAGTTGTGCATCATTTGACAATTACGCACCCAAATTTCAGCCATTTTGGACGCGTAGTTGTTATTTAACAGACCTTTGAGTAAATCGATGGGAGTGTTTTTGTTAAAATGAAGTAATTGAGTATCGAGCTGTCATTAAGTTTTTGTTTTTGAAAGACATTACGCCTACGCAAATTAAAGATAAGTTGAACTGTGTGTATGGGAATTTTAAATAATTATTTACCACATTGAAATTTTAGGCAGTTGAGTTGGCCGTGAGAACTTGGGAGACGATGAACGTTCGGGACGTGCAAAAACTGCAACTACTGACAAAAACATCGCTAAAGTTCACCAAATGGTGCTAGATGACCACCGAACTAAAGTAAGAGAGTCCAAAGAACGTATTTGTCATATATTAAATTAAGATTTAGGCATGATAAAGCTGTCAACGCGTTGGGTGCCGTGTTTTGTTCACTTTAGATCAAAAACGTGTTCGAATGAACATTTCCAACGCTCTATGGGCTCAGTTTAGGCGCAATAAATCAGACTCTCATACCTCAGCGGTTGCCATGGCGAAAATCCACAAATTATGGTTTCTGAACTACTAGAGAGATGAGAACATCGCTGGGAGAATTGTGTAGAGTTACAAGGAGACTGTAGAATTTTTTTTTAAAAAGTCTTTGTTAGGTCGAAAACTTTTCAGACCACCTACGTATATGTTATAGATCAGACTTTAGGCATTTGAATTTGTATAATGAGATATTTTGATTTTATATTGTAAATGTAAATATTGTATCTTTTTGTGGTGTTACTCGCATCTAAGTTGTAACGTCCAGGCAATCATGATTCACGGTTATTATGATATCTCATAATAATAATAAATAATTATTCTATGCGACGAACCTGTATTTCAGGTCACCAGGTTTCCCTCCCAGTTGACAAATACAAAAGTGTGTAATCTTGGAATACATAATATTTTAATAATAATGACACGATATAATCCATTTACTTGTGGTAAGTATTATGTGCGTGCGTGCGTGCGTGCGTGCGGTGCGTGCGTGCATGCGTGCGTGCGTGCGTGCGTGCGTGCGTGCATGCGTGTGTGTGTGTGTGTGTGTGTGTGTGTGTGTGTGTGTGTGTGTGTGTGTGTGTGTATGTGTGTGTGTGTGTGTGCGTGGGTGTGAATGAGAAAATTACAACATTTATACTTGTGATGTAAAAAGATATTCCGTATTAATACAATATATTCTTAAAGATTTGGCATATAGCAAAATAGACAGATTTAATAGTGTTAGAATCTGCTACGCAACGGAGTTTTTAATAATATATGTTAATTTCCGTACCCTGTTTGAAAGTGATTGTATATGCTCATGAAAAGTTAGCTTATTATCCAACAAAATACCAAGGTATTTAATTGAATTCACTTTTTGCAAAGATGTGCATGAATATGTTAGGCGATAAGGTAAATTGCAAGAATGAGCAGTAATAACATGGTCTGTGCAGGTTGCATATTTATTATTATGTTTGGAGAAGGACAAGTACTTTGTTTCATCCACGTTGAGGGTTAACACATTATCGAGAAGCCATTTGGACACTATTTTTAAGCCAATCTGAGCAAAGTTAAATACTGGCCATGAATCACCAGTAAATAGCAGTGTTGTGTCATCTGCAAACGTAACTATTTTTCCGTTCGCTAGTTTGAGTTTGCAGAGGTCATTATTGTAAAGAAGACACAAGGTAGGGCCAAGAATACTTCCTTGTCCAAAAGTAATACGAGCTTATGTTATCACGTAGAAAATTTCTCATATTTCACAATGATAACGATTGTAGATTTTAACTTAGACTAAGTCGCTCTGACAATCTCTCTTCGTACTCCAGTACATTTATCCTCCTTCGTCGATAAATCAATATTTATTACATGTCCTTTTTTATCTATCCTATTTCTCTCAGCTGTCATAATCATGATCTTACGTTTTTATTTTTATTTCATTTTTTAACTTAGTTGTATAATTTATGTCTTGCTAAGTTGTCTAAAAGAAATTGCATCCAGAAAAATAAGACTTCTTTATTTATTACATTTTGTTTTTGTTTCAATGTCTATGCCATCTATTGTTGTACAATAAAGAATATATTGATTAATTTAAACATGCATAAAATAGTTACGAATTCTATAATAGCTTTCATTCCTTACTTCCCCTCTTAGGGATGGAGTATCCAAAAATCCTTACCACAATCTATACAGGTTACATAGTTTTTAATAGAAACTATAGCTTTAGCGTTACATAATATACAAAAAATGTATGTTTGATCGTATTTTACGCGCTGCTATACAGTTCTGACTCATATATGGCTGGAGGCGGTAGAGTCCAAGGGGAATGCATTGGCCATTTGGTCATAGCGAAGGCCTTCGATCGGTTTTGGCATAATGTACTTCTTTAGAAGCTTCCTTCCTATGGGCTTCCCGTGAAATTGTGCAGTTGGATCACGAGATTCCTTTCTGATTAAAGCATCAAATTCTTCGATTTGTAGACGGCGTATGCTCCGATTACAAGCCTACCTAATGAGGGTGTCCCACAAGGTTCCGTGCTATCACCTACACTGTTCCTTCTGCATATCAATCATATCCTGAAAACCATTAGCATTCATTGCTATGCGTAAGACAGCGCAGGTGATACTTTTTACACCGGCTTTACCAATAATTCTCTGGTTCACGTCATTGAGTGACGGAAAAAACTTGTATGTAGTCGAGTCTTTGTTACTTTGTTAGACAAGTCTCGGATTGGGGAAGACTAAATCTAGTCCAGTTTAACCCTCAGAAGACACAACTATGCGCAATTACCACTAAAAGAACCCCTTTGACGTAGTGATGCAACAGAACTCTGTTTCTGTTTCCGCAATTGCGGAAGTTCTGCATGGTTTTTAAAATCCGTTTCTGCTTCTGTTTCCGCAAGTTTTATAACGGAATTTTGAACGGAACTCAGCGACGCATCCATGTAAATAGAATTATTGTATTTTTAGTTAATTAGAAATTTAAGTCGTGTATGTAATTTTTAAAATAATGATTTAGCAGCCAGATGTGAATTATGTGACAAAATATACTCGCAAAAAGGCTGCACAACTACCGCTTTAAAGAGCCATCTTAAACGCCGAAGAGTTTGCAGAATTTGAGAAGTTGTTGAAACTGTAAAACTTTCATCGCAAACTAAAAAACAAATGGTCAGTCAAGGAATTGCATACCTATTTATTTATAAAAAGTATTCCTATGTTATAGTCAAAACCAGATTTTAGTTAAAACGTGTTTTCTCCAGTTAAAAATAGTTTTTAATAAATGCCTTTGTTACAACTTAGATTTGAAAATTAATTAGGTAGCAGTTATGTTTGCGTGAAGTTTACATTATTTATTTTT